TTGTTCAAAAAATTATTTCCTATTAATTTTAGTATGTGTTTCAAATAAACCAATGGTAATAAATTTTCCCATTCAGTTAGCACAAAAATTTAACAATCCAAACATTAAAATTAGAAATAAATAATTAGAAATAAATATATTTTCAAAACTGTGATAGAATAACTCAAGAAACAATTTCTTTAGATGTCAAAAGAAATTAGATAAACTTATGTCATGAACATCATATAGATTATTACAAAATTATCTGTCATATGGGAAAAACTCAAATATTTTTATTCTATAATTAAATTCGTTCCAGCAGTATTCTAGTTGTGCAATAAACTTTATTTTTTACACTTTATCTTTTTTCATGATGTATTAGGGGAACACAGTCTCTACAAAAGTGGATATCAATCAGTGTTCTGCAGATCATTCAATCAAAGCAATGTAAAATCATTTTTGTATGGGATTGTAATCAGCAAACACGAATGCCAAAATTTTTTGTCCATTCTCACATTGGTATGCCTATGCAGTTCACATTTGAATTCTAAGCAGTCAATGTGATTCATATAACTGATTTCCAGTAATCATATTGATTGGATTTTTAAAAAATAAAAAAATTATGTGGATATGACATCTGGCTGACTGGCTCAAGATTCTTGGTTCGAAGCTCTGCCAAAGTTTAAAGTTGCCTGGGACTTGGCATACTTGTTTAACCATCAGGATTTGTTAAATAGTCACTCTTAGCACAGACAATTAATTTTACTTGGGTAACAATGTAAATTGTGTACCGCATGTAATGTACAAACACTCATTGTCTATGTCCGCCATTTACTGTCATTTTATTTTTTAATTTTTAACAAAAAATTTCTCTTTCATCACATTATATTTTTTTTTCTTAAACATTTTATTAAGGCAATGAATCATTTCATCATAAAGAATCTCATCTTGATATAAATGATGACAAGGCTACTGCTAGCGCTAATAGAAATGAAGATGATGCAGCAGAGATAAAAATTGGGGAAAAACTTGAAATGTCAATCGCTTGAACGACAAAGAATAATTAAAATTCAGATTTATCAGAAAGACAGATTGTCTGACTCCTCCCTGCGCTGTTTGCAGAAAGAAATTTGCCAATAACGCGATGGTCCCCACTAAATTAAGGCATCATTTCTCAACTGAACATAAAAAATCTGTCATAAAAAAAAAAGACTACTTCAACAAGCTAATGGAAACACAAGTGCAACAAAGAAGACAATTTGAAAAAAATAAACAATAAAAGTAAAAGACAAAGCTCAACCTATGTCGTATAAAATTGCTGAGTTAGTAGCATAAAAATTAAAGCCACACACAATCGCAGAATCTCTCACTTTACCTGCATGCTGTGAAATAGTGACAATTATTTTTGGGGAAGAAGCAAAGAAGGACATTTTCAAAATGCTTAATATTAAAACAAAGAAACGAAAGAGCCTGGTAAATTTAGAAGAGGAGATACAAATGGCTTTATCATTTATTCATCCCAGTATTTCTTAAATCTGCAAAGAACACCAAGCTCATGTATCGCATTAAATTTGAGAATTTTTTAATGTATTGTAATATGTTTGCATCAATCACTATCTGTATGTGCATCTTTTATTAAAGTAACAGTTTTAAGCAGGGGTGGGGTGGCCAAAATTAAACTCTGATTAATTATCTGTTCTGCACAAAAAATATCAGAGTTTAGTGTTCTGACTTCAAAAAGATTGAGAACACTGCACTACAATACTATCATGATGTATGAGGAACTTTCCAACTAAAAATTGCATGTGAAATTTTTTTTTATCTTGTTCACACACAGGTATCACTTGGATAAATTTTTATTTAATTCAAAGCATTTATATATTGTTTGGCCTTCTTATATCCTTACTCAGATTTGGTCATTAAAAGTTTGGCTATCAATTATCTGAAATTTCACTTTCTCAAAATCTGATACAGGGATTTTTAACCACCAATAGTAAAATATTAAATTAATTAAAAGCTTTTAGTGGCTTGCTATTTAAATTCTAAAGTGCAATATCTATTCATTATATTTAATACCTATAACTAATTCATCATACATTCATGTCATTTTTCAAATGTATTAATAACTGAATTAATGACATGTTCAAGTCATTATTCAAATGTATAAAATTCATATTGTTTATCACTGACACACTCAATCTCACTTTAAGATATAATATATAAATATATAAAAAATTACAATTTCTGTAACTAGTCCAAACACAAGGAAGTGTTTATATATTACAATTGTGAACAAATTAACTTGTAATTTAACTTATTTTCATTTTGTGACTTCAAGTAAAATAAGCATATAGATCTGTTTACCTCCAAACTACTAAAATCGTACAATATCGTCTAAAAATTGTAAGATACAGTATCTTAAAAGTAAATAAATAAACCTACAGTATATATAATGTGTACAATAACTACTTGCATCATGTCTAGTGGTATCGAGTTAAGCTGGTGTTAAAAAAGGTAAGTTCTAAAAGTATAGCACAGTCTGATAACTACCACAAACTGGAAATGGGTGAAAGAAAGAGGGGGCTATTCAAAATCGTACTGCTGTTTTTTGCGTATAGATTTAAAAGGCCCTTACATGATCCTAAAAAATATGTCGAAATCTAATGTTATGGTGCGGAACAGTTGAGAATGAATTCTCAAGTTTTCTCCGTTTCTGCACTCATCCCAGTTCAACCATAAGAAATAATGGTCACAAAATTATGTCATACAGCGCCGAAGCAAATGAACACAAAGGCCATTTTTAAGGTACAAAAGAAAAAAAATTTTCTGCCCCCCCCCCCTTGCATGCATTCTTTTATTGCATGCATACTTTTATGATGACAACCCCCCCCCCCCACACACACACAAACACACTTTTTCTATATGGGTTGCCAAAAATATTACAAAATTTTAATTATTTTCTTTCCACTTTTATACATTCTTCCAATATGACATATAGACTCGTTGTGCTAATATTAAATCACTTCAGTAACTAATGTTTGCAGTTACGATGGCGCTTAGTGACCTACATTTTTACCCAATCCTTTATTCCTTTATTTTATTTTGCTTATGTATTTGCTATTTCCAAGTGTACTTTAAAAATTTTACACAGCCAGCCTGGTGAAACTCTAAATCGGCATAGACGCGGGGAAATGAAAATTTTAGAACCACTAAGGTAGCCCCATGAAATATAGTCACAAACACATTGGACTTATGATGGAATAAATATTACTGTAATACCTCTACTACTTAGTACTATCTAAGTATATCTAGAAAGTTCGTTTGTGAAAATACATGGCCATTTGTGGACTTTAAGGATTATTGTAGAATTTTTGATTACCGTACATACTTTCTGCCGAGAACCCCCTCCTGCCACACGTACGTATAGGAAAAATTTAAAAAATCAAACCGCTTACCTCAGTGTGTACGCACTATAAGGATGGCCCTGAATCGACTAAAATTGTCATTAGGGTGATTACTCTAATATTACGGTTGCTGTGTCTATTGAGCTCATTATGAAAACACAAAGCAACAATACGACCATCACCACTATCATTACAAAAATGTGGTGAAAATGTGGGGCAGTGTTGATTTTATAGATGAAAATATTTAGACACCCTCCCGACACATCTGTACACAAAATCTCCTAAAACAACACCACTCCAGAGCAAACGGAATATAATGATACAGTTTTTCCAGCCAATCATATTTCTCTGTCCATTCACTGCTGGATGTTGAATGAAAATACAAGTTAAAACTAACAACCAAAAATGTTCTTTTTAATTATTATTATATTTTTATGGGAAAAACAACTTGAATGTATTTATTATTAAATCGGTCTCTTAAAATCGTAGTCCTGATAGGTCTTGACATACAATTGTAAAATCGTACATTGTACTCCAAAATTGTAAACAGGTCTGAGCATGTCTGGTAAATAATGAACTTGCAACATGCAATGATCCACGGAGTAGGGGCTGAATTCAGTAGTTTGGTTTACTCAACTGACTATAATGAATCTGGACAACTCACAAACTCTGGTGTTAGGGCAAGCAAGATAAATCCTACCATCCTCCACTGAAGGGTCATCACATAAGAAAACTGAATGCCCGTTTGTCACAAGGTTGCTAGGCTGATATATTCAATTAGTAAATGAGTTATGGTCTGCAACGCTAGGTCAATAATAAAATATCTTACATAATGTTGTAATATTTAATTTAGCTTCATAATAAATGGGAGCTACTCACCTGGTCTTCTACTTCAAGTGGTAACAAAAAAGTGCTGGTGATAACATCTTTAGGAGATTGGACAACATAGGTTGCCAAAGGCTCATCCTCTAAAATGAGCAGATTGTTCTCACTTCTAAAACGATAGACTAGAATGCCACCACCACAGTAGACTTCTGATGAAACATTTTCCTTGGTTGGCTGAGTTAATGAGGAGTTGATTTCAGCAGAAGATAAAGGAATTGAGCTTTCCAAGAATCCAGTTTTGGTAGAAAGAACTACTATCACATGTTGTTTATCCAATGAAGGTTTTATCGAGCGCACTTCAATTTGCTCCTTCTGAAATGGTCGGGGCATTTCTATACACTGAATAACAGACCCTGAGATTTTGGGGGCTTCTTTTTTGGGAGAGCCATTGACATTGACAAATGAATCAGCGCTGGAGTCACTGGTGTAGCTGGTGTAGGATGATAAGCCTGGGAGCTTCACTGAAGCAGCTGGCTCAAGGTCAGCAAATGTGAAATGCTTGAGGGGAGAATAATGAACTGGACAAGAACTGTCTATACTATCACAGAGATCACTGGGCCCGTTAGGTACACTAGCTTTATTCAAATCTTTTATATGCTTCTCTTCTGAAGGTAGATTGCCATTGAATGTACCAGTGAAAAGTACAGAGTTTTTGTTTGGAGCCGGTGTGTAGCCGACTATTTGACAGTCTGAATCTACAGTTTCCTCCCATGGATTAAGAGCCCATTCATCGGTTGTGTTTCCCAACATGCTCGGAGATGCTGAAAGATCCTCTTTGTCAAAAGATGGCTTACTCATCACTGGTGATTGAGGTATCTTTTTTTTAGGGCTCGCCCGACTAGAAGAGCGAGCTTCTTCAATTAATGAAATCACAATAATGTAGGGAGTCAGGCGACTTTCCGGCATAATAAAGTCAGTTGAATAATGTCCGTCTGTTATAAGTCTAGACTCACTACTCACCGCCTCATTCACTTCATTCATTAACTGAACATTCAAGTTATTACTGCAGCAAACACCACTCCCTTCAGGACAAATGTGTGCATTCCCGTCCCCCATTTCAGGAGATTTGGTTTGCCGAAGAGAAAGTCCACAAAAAAGTGAAAGCTGAGCATCATGAACAGAAGATGGTTTTGAAGGATTAGGTGAAATCATGTCCTCCCTCCACTTTGTTTCATCTGCTATACACAAAGATGTTACAAATAGATCTTCTGATGGTCTATGGGATCCATTCACAGCTTGTTTATCTAAAAATACAAATATTTATCCGTTAAGTAACAAATAATGTTGTAGTTTTTCTTACTTTTGTTGCTGTCATAAGTGCGCTAAGCTGATCAAGTAAAACATTAAATAAACGAAGATTTTTAAGAACGAAGAAAAATATATATGTTTACACTTTTATTCAATAATTGATATTTATGGGTAATTTCCGTTTGCTGGATCTCAGCCTTAAAGCCATATATATTTTTTATAAATACAATCGTTGGAACAAAATCAGTGTGCTGTTTCTCTTTATAAAATGACACTGCTAAAGCGGACTCTGTAGTTTCTGATACAAATGGGAATTCAGTACATTGCTTTTATGAGAAATAGCATGAGCCTAACTTATGGAATTTAGTTAAAAGCATCATTACCGATTTTTCTGTGCAATAAATTAAATGTCTATGGTGTGATTTTGTGCTAGAAGAATGAACCATACTTGGACTAACTTTCTTCATAAAAGATATAGTGCAACCCTTACCTTCTCTGTGTCTCTCATGAAGAGCGATGTTACAGACTTCTTCATCACACAATGTCTCCTGATCCTTCAGGTCATTTCTGGATTAAGGTTAATTTAGACAAAATTATGCTATATATAAATTTAACAATGTTAAAGCTGTTTTGTTTTTTTTGAGTTAAAAAATAATAATTTGGAACACTAAAATAAGACATAAAATATACTCCTGATGCAGGTGCAATACATTTTACAGAAATTGTAACATTTGATGTAATTTTCAAAATAAGACTGAATTGCATTATATTCTCAAAATTTGAATTATGTTAAGTTTTCATGTTTTTAAAAAGAAAAGTTGCTCTTGAATGAACTGATAAGGTATGCATTCAAAAACATCAATGCATTAATAATTACCTATATAAAATTACATGGTAATAGGGGGAGAGTTTGCAAACAGGCTAGCAAAATAGGAGTTAAACAAAGTAAGATCAAACCTAAAAAAAAAGGAACACAACAAAATAACAAACGTGTCAGCATGAAGCCTCCGCCAAACAACATAAAAAACATAATTGTGCACAATTCTTTTTCTGCCCTCTCAAATACTATTTCTCAGCTAAGTGTTATTTTGAAATTTTATTCCGTTTTTTCTGTTGTTGACAAGGCTTCCTCCCGACATGTTCATTGCTTTGTTGCGTTCCTTTTTTTCATGTTTGACCTTCTTTGTTTTACTATATAAAATTACAAATCTAGAGCTCTTCTTCTTTTTAAAAAAAAAAAAAAAAAAAAAAAAATGAATTACTTTGATGCTACTAAATGAGACTGCTGATGAGATTGAAAACGTTCAATTTGTAGGCCAGTCTTCAGGGCCACCAAAGTATCAGTGAGATCAATGTCAAACTGGCAGTGCTTCTGAAATACATACAACAACAAAAAAGAATCAATATAGACCCAACCAAGAATGTTGAATTATGAAACTGTTATTGTTATGCTTAATTATGGTATAAAACTTTTCACAGAAACAAAAGCTTTATAACCAAATTCATTACAGTTAATAAATGTTATCTATTTTACCTTAAGAATGTGACTTATGTCCCAAACTACAATGTTTCCATCCCTTGTTGATGTTGCTATGAAATCTTCATTCAGTGTTGTACTGACACATGCAATTTTCTGAAAATGTAGCAAAAAGTAAGCAAGACTGTATTGAAAATGCTTTATGTGAGGCTTGGGAATGAATCCATTGTCATTAATCCAGATTTCATGACTTGCAACAATGATTGGCTTAATGTCCGTAATTTGCTGGAAGCATGGAAATGATGATCTAGCTTTAAAATTACAATAAATGAAGGGTATAGAAAAACGGGTATGTGAAAGCTTGAAATAGAAAGACAATAAAAGAACGTTTCAGCAGGACAAATGAGGAAATAACAAGAAATAGAAATATTTTTGTGCGTTGAAATCTTATTTTTCACAGTAATAATACATAAATTATTTTACTTCCTGTAATGTTGGTTTTGAAAAACCCAACTTCCAGCATAAATGGCGATTTTTTAACTACTTTCTACTTCTTGTTATTTCTTTATTTGTCCTGTCTGCTGAGGAGGTTCTTAGCCAAAACTTTCTTCTTTTATTGTCCTTCTATTTTAAGCTTCAACATACCTTGTTCTTCTATTCCCTTTAAAATGACAAGTCTCAATATAAAAACTAACTTAAAATAAAATAGATCAACTTAAATGACAGATATGTATTTCTTAAACCACATCATGACCTAAGGTTAAGAACACATTAATTGGAATAGAATCATGGTTAACCACCACAATATATTTTAAATTGATATCAAAATGTTTAATACGACATTCTCTGATACCTGTTGAGCATCCCCGTGAAATTGAGCAGGCTGGGTAGCGTAGGTAACAGTTAAAGGTACATTCTGGGTACAGTCCCCTTTAATGTATGGACATGACTGTGAGTGACGCTCATGCTCAGACCTGTCAAAATAACAAACAATTTTTTTTAAAACATCTTTTAAAAAAGGAATCAAATATTTATATAACAAAAAAAAAATTAGAAATTTGTTCTACTCACCAAGGTTCATCAGTGGGCTCCCAACAAACTAGACATACATTGCACGTAAAACACATGGCTCTATCATCACCATGCAGATTTGGATGATGAAAAAACCCTGCTTGTGCCATAGGTTCTGGCAAGGCCCACCTTTATGATTAAATAGAAAAATTATATATATATGTTACATAAAATTTGTTACAAACTGAGCCAGCAGCTAGCTATGTCATTTGGTCCTGTTCATTTTTCCAGTCTTAATGACCCTACAAACTGGCTTAAGGGGAGTTTATCACAATAATTTTTTAGTTAATAACTATTTTTATTCTATTTTGAACTTTACGGAGTGACACCACTGTAAATAAATGAGATCATACTTGTAGTTCATATGTGGCCAGTTAGCAAAGGTCTCCCTTCTTGCTGCCTCACTGTACATTAATGCCCTGTTAACTGGTTCTTTCATGATCTCAATTCTGGTGATAGGCAACAAAAATCCAAGCCTGTCAACAAGCGCTGATGCCACAGGGAAACCCTGGCCAGTTTGATTGGTCTTTGTGAGCTCATCCAGCAGAGAAGAGCACACTGACTTAAGCACAAGATGCTGCATTTGCAAGCACACTGTTGCCCACTGTAAAAGAAATAATTTTAAAACATTTAACAGAAATGTATTTTATAATAAAGTAATAAAAAGAATACAAACTCTTCATAACAGTCTCTACATTATGCTAGGAAATCCAATCAAAAGCAGAAATTAAAATTCATAGCAAAAGTCCAATTCAGCAACTGTTTATGGATTTAAAGTGTGGGCTGAGTGCATCGCTTCCATGATTAAAAAAAAAAGAAATAAATTTTATTGTTGGGGTATTATAGTGCCCCCATTTTATTCTGTGCATGCCTCACTAGGGATAAAAGCCAACTGAAGTCCTGTTTGAAGGGTGGCCTTCACGGAAATGTAAAGAGAGGGCAAAGTTAAGACCATAAGATATTTTCAGTCCAATCCTAAGAGAATGGGTCAGGCCGGAAGAAAGCCTGGACACTTGTCCTATTGTGATGGCAGAGTTTCAAAGTGTTCAGCTGAAGCAAGGGCAGGCACCTTTTCCCGCCGCCTTCTTTGTGTATTCAGTTGCAGACATTTTTATTTACTTTGCTCACAGCGGTGAATTGCATAAAATTAATTTCCTCAAAAGGATTCTAATAAAAGTGAAACAGCATTGATCAGAGTTAAATAAAAATGTTAAGCCAACCTTGGCAGTTTTGTGATTTCCTTGTGTAGCATCTTGAGTTTTCTCAATACCATGGGTTAATTCCTTAGCAAAATCATCCACAAACTCCTTCCCACTGAGATCAGTTGATAGCAAAGTCTTCCTTAACTGGATTGCCTGAAGATTTTTTTAAGAATGTGTTATTTTACAGTTTATCTCATTACATTGTACAAAAAATTAATTTCATTACATAGTACCAAAAAAAACTATGAGATTAACAGGTTGAGCCAGATACAACTGCATTTTATTAAAACACAAATCATGGCACATAGGAAAGATATTCTGAGTTGTCCCATTAATTCTGAGTGAAATAAATTCCAAGTAGATTTGTTAATTAATTTTACATTTTTTATTTTTGAAGCAAATGCACCCTTTAAGTCTATAGCTAAGGGAAATGTGTAGTTAATGTATTATTACCTCAACTAATGGTAATTCAATTTTTACAATATCTTCTGGCTTATTGACTGGAGTTTGCAAAGCAGTGTCCAAAAGAAGAATGCCTTGAAAATCTCCCCTGACACCTATAGCACATCCGTCGCAGTAAACAGTTTTGTCTTTTTCAGGAAGATAGATGACATCTAAAGTATCGCATTTGTGGCCTGAAAATGATAAATTATTGTTTTTAAACTTTAGGAACTCTGTCCCAATAAAATGTGAAATTATTTTTCTTTAAGGCAGACCCTTTTCTAGAAAAAAAAACAAACAAGACAGATCAGCTCCAAATTTAAGCATATCCTGAAATTAAAAACTAGAAAGTTGTCATTTAAAAGTTAAGAATAATTCTTTTAAATATACTAAGAAGGAAAAGTTATTATTATTTCTGAATTGAAAGGTCTTTAAATATGTTTGTTCAAAGGCCCCTTTACAATAAAAAAATTGGGGACCACTGTTAATCTGTTGACCAGCCATCTGAAATAAATTTATATTTATACTGTTCATAAACAAACAGTATCTTTGAGAATTTTTTGATACTGTCATTTTTAGAGCAAAAAGCCCATTATAAATGAAAAAGATGATTATGATTAAATGAGGAATTTTAAAAAATACCATAAGATGTTGCTTTATTTAATTAGATATGTGTCTGTGTAGGATTCTCTCCATTTTGTTTATCATTACTTTGGGTTTTTACTAGAGTTAACTTTTCCTTAATATAATAATGGAATGTTTTTAATTCAAAATACATTTGTTGGTTAATTATAATATTTAAATTCTCCAGCATTTTGGAAAAAATGGGTTTAATTATTGTATTATATTGATTTTCTGACAACTTTTGGATTTTCTTTTTGGTGGAAAATGAAATAAAATATGTATAAGTGTATTCTATATGAAATTGTAATTTGAGTTTTCATTATTTTAAAATTATTTTGTATTGTTTTTCTTCATTTTACAGTTTTCTTACTACAGTGTGTAACTGTAGCCGCAAATGTTATAATTTCAGTCAAGGGAACTGAGCATGTATTGGATGAAATTACGTCAGGGGCGACCGCAGGTCATTGAGACTTCTTGCCATATGTCTAGATGGATGCAATAAAGTTGATATGCTCAACACAAACTACGTTCACCACAAAACTAATGTACTGGGCAGAAATTTGTTCATAAAATTTTAACATTTTTGTTGTATTGTTATTTTTCTCTGTAAGCTGCAAAATAGCACATTCTCTCCCTCTCCACTCCCCATTTTAGCAGACATGTTTTTTACATGGCCGCCACCTTAATGTCCATGACAAGTCACAGTTAATGTCAACCAAGGTGGGGCCATGGGAAAACGCCATGGCGCGGATACCACTGTATCTATTGTCCGATTATGTTTTTGAGACGCGAATAATGCTCAGTGAATAATGGGAAGTTATCATTCTCATCGTTAGGTCCAACTGTTGGTCTAGTCACCCTAAGTCCAGTGTTGGGATTCTCCAAAGTGTAGTCACTGGGCTTAGGAAAATCAACTCTTGGCAAAAACCATGCAGCTAACAGCACATTTACCAAATTACTGTTAGTAGTGTGAGTAGTGATTTTTTGTGCTTGTTTGTAGCTTAAGGCTTAAACTTAAATTTAACCCTAAAACCTGAAACGTATTACAAAAGATTGGCTAAGGATGAGTTAATACACTAAATCTGCATTCAGCTAGATTAATAATTAGTAGGCCTATAGCATAACTAATTAGCCCTTTATTACTCAATTATTTGGCCTAACTAACTTATTCTCTTTTTTATATTATTTGGGCTTTATTAGTTCGACTTCCTAGTAATGAACAGAATCTTACCAGACAGGTCCGATTTTTGCAAAAAAGCACCAGAAAGAGCATCTAATATTGTTACTGACTGATCTCTACTAGATAATATAACAGAATTCAGTGACGAATTGTAGATCACATGGCTTGTATTTACATCTACACTGAGACATCCATCTTCTCGAATGGGCCACTGTTTTTCAGTGTCAGCCGCCATTACTCTGTATAGTAGAATGAAGTGACGTCACGTATTCGAGACTTAAGAGAAGTAATTTTTAAATTTTGATATTCACAGCAGTTAATATTAGACTTAATTGTAACATTTTATTATGACGTCCATCTAATCATGTTGTCAAATTATTGAGAAATCGCAAATGAAATTTTACTATATAAATCTAAATATAGCTCTTCACTCATGTGACTAAAATAGCACCGTGACTGTAGTTGACTGTAGTAAAACTAGTTACACTTGATGGAATCTTAGGTTTACACAAAACAAACTAATTTTTGCTCGCGTGTTACTGTTATAATAATCATTTATAAAAAATCTTTAAATTTCCACAAAAATGTATCAAGATTTTCTTTTCAGCCCCTATCTGAATGTAGCAACCGCCAACCAGGCTCTGTGATGGCGTGTAGCTTTTTTCAATTTTTTTTTTTTTTTTTTTGCATTTTTTGCTTTCTGGACTGGGGGTATTTCCGTTTACTTATAACTTATACGTATTTGCCGTTTGCCTGACGTGGTTTTGGGTGTAGATGGATGGGATTGGAAATATACAAAATAAATTAAGGTGCAGAGCTAATATTGTAGAAATTGTATGTTTTTTTTAACCTCAAGTCCACCCCTCACACTCTATTTAAGAAATTTACGTTGTATTTTTAAGTAATATACTGGCACACTTGGGGGTGGGGGGGTGGATACCATTAATGAAAATGTAAATTTAACAAAGGTTTCAAAACATATCTCAGTTTTAACAATTTTTATGCTACACATTTATGTTCAATGTTTGGATCGAATTCGCTATGTGAATCAACACTGTCAACAAGGGGGTCCATCAATGCAAAAGAAATAGTTCAAATTTATTGTAGATGAAAATATTTTGAAGAACCCATGGACTGTGCCTTGAGTAAAGAGTAAAGGAATTGAACCAACATTTTTTTTTCAGTCTGTTAATGAAAAGGAATGTCAAATTTAAGATTTAAGTTTGGCTAAAATATGATTAAACAGCTTATTTCTTCATATAATAATTAAAGGACTGCATTCAAGCTAAGTAAATGAAATAGCAGAACGAGGTATGTGGAAGCTTGAATGTAATGACAGCAGAATACGATTATTGTCCTGTCCTTAAATTCAAGCTTCCACATGCCTGGTTTTGCTATTTCGTTTATTTCTTCACATAGGCCTAATATAGTGCTTCATGATTTATATATGTGGCAGTGTATGCCCCAACCCACTATTTGACCCGTTACGTAAACCATGTCTGGCGCCCAACTCAAGGTCGCGCGGTGTGTAGTAGCACTGGCGCGGTGCGTAACAGGTATCCCTTTCCCCTTTCCCCCCCCCCTCCCCCCGGACGGTCACTATACGACCGGCGCATAGGGAGGAAATAATAAAATACCACGATGTGCGCATTGGTTAGAAATTCAATAATTTATTTCTCAGGAACCCTAGCGTATTAAGTTATACATTACATCTAGTTAAGACGGGGATTTTATTCACTATACCTTAGCATATTTACAAGTTTCCATCGTTGGAGGATATTTTAATATTTAGTCATTAAAGGAGTTTTCGCCTTCATTTATAGTGGTCCCCACCCCCTTCTAGTTAAAATATCTTAAAAACTATTTAAGTCATAAAAATATAAAATAGCATCTTAGATAGCTAAGACAAAACTGCACAGATTACATATAAGTCGTTAGGGATGTGGATAAAGATTTTAATTATTACTCTGGATTAGTCCCCAGAGTTAGGCATTTTATCCCAGGAAACTGGCCAGAAGGCAAAACTTAGACCGACTCGGTTTAGGTGTGACGTAGGGGCTCTCTGATATGTCCGCGCACGGTTTTAAAAAGGGGAGCACACGAGGTAGGGGTCATTTCGAGCTTTGGTCAGCATACCTGCAGTGTGCCTTTGTTCAGTGCGGCCCATTGGAACGCTCTGTAAGTAGAGGCAATGACGCCATTTTTATTTCTTTGTGGTTAGTAGGAACTTGTTGAGTGTTAGCATTAGAAGATTTCTGTTCAGACTTATAGCCAGGATAGAGTGTAGGATAACCTACAGTGTGTAGACTTATGCTCATGCTATTTTAAAGGTTAACATACAACCGTTAAATAAATTATTTAATAGGATTAATAAATAGATACCAGTGACCAGGGTTTGTGCGTAACAAACAACTGCATATCGTTCTGGGTACTCATACTGCAATGCGCTTATAAAATAAGCTATTGATACAACAGTATGCCATCCAGGTATGGTGTCTATGTAAGAGGCACACATAGCGGGACAGTAAATACAACGGTATTAAGTATGACTACCGTTGGCTTGATACTTGTATCTGTCCATCGCTGTGTCTTGTTAAGACAACAGCAGATTGCAGAATGAATCATAGTTATATTATATGGGATGTGATCCTCACACATGCACTATTTCCTATGTGAGAATTTAGCACCTGGCAGGAAAGTTAGCCTATTACACATATTTGACGGACACTCGCTGGTTGTATACTGTTGTATCAATAGCTTATTTTATTCCATAATGCAGAAATAGAAGGAATTTCGTTCAATATCTACTGGCTGCCACCGGGATTTCTTTCAGCTATATCTCGGGGGGGGGGGCAGTGTGGGCCCCCCCCCCCGGGAAAGCCAAGTGCCCCCTGGGATCAAAAATATGTCCAACAATAAATCAAATGGAAGTGCTGATCCCTCTCAACCAGTATTTGACGAGTATCAGAAGACATGCAGAAAGCATTCCATAATGCAGAAATAGAAGGAATTTCGTTTAATATCGACTGGCTGCCACCAGGGTTTCTTTCAGCTATACCTCCGGGGGAGGGGCAGTACGCCCCCCCCCCCGGGAAAACCAAGTGCCCCCAGAGCAAAAATATGTCCAACAATAAATCAAATGGAACTGCTGGCACTGCCCCCCCCCCTAAAAATCTGAAGTGCCCCCGGGGAGGAATTAATTAAAAAGCTATAGTCCTCAAGACCTGATTGTTCCATTTTGATTTTATTTAAAAACTGTAAGCTACGTCACCACTCGGCTACAGTTGTTGGCGCTGCGAGCAGGGTCAATTTACACTACTACAGTGTTTTGGCGTTGTCACCTAAGTCAACCCTAAACCACAACACTACTACATATATAGAGTGGCGAATTTTACTTTTCATTCGCCACAACTCTGGCTGTTTTTGGAAAAAAAAAGGTTCTTCACCCCAGTCTAGGAATGATGATGATTCAATGATGGTACGTTTCACAGCGGTCTTACATCAAAGGAAATAAGCACTCAACACAATGTTCACTTGTAATGAGCAAGGCTATCTTACACACCGCACAGGAAATACATTTATTTTTGCGCACCAATACAAACTTACATTGAACGTTCATGACCAACCTAGCCACAGCGCAAAACTGTGAGTGACACTTTTTCATTTTTCTACAGCTCAGGTAAGACAAAAAAATACACGAATTTTGGACAGACTGAGGTCGGAAAAAATTGACCTATGCGTATCCTGATTCTAGGATAACAGAGAACATCCGTGGAACATGTCGGCTCACTGGGACCAGTGATTTTTTTTAGTCTATAATCGTCTAACAAACAAACATATGTAGAGATGATATACGATACATACACACGACATATGGGACATAACACTCCTCAAGTGCAAGACAGGGCAAGTTATCTTGGCAAACGATCAACTTCGGCGTTGGGTGGAGCGTTATAGTAAATGAAAGTAGTTACTGAGACCGCACTGAGACCCTGTCTTGTCAATAATGTAGGAGTTACAAGAAAAACCCACTCTGAGGGAGCTCGAAAAAGCAATAATCGATTACCTTGCTGATGGGAAGACTCCGCGGATTGACGGCATTACCCGGAAGTCCTCAAAATTGGAAAACCTATACCACTTCAACCCTTACATGATCTCGTCTGTCTGTGTTGGAGAGCAGGTCACATTCCCCAGGACATGAAGGACGCCAACATCGTAACATTGTATAAAAATAAAGGTTACCACAGTGATTGTATTAGTCTAATTGCCGAGGCATTTCTCTCCTTGGCTTAGTTGGGAAGTCGATTGCCCATGCCACCCTTAAACGATTGTTGAGTCTGGCTAACCGCATCTACCCAGATGCCCAGTGTGGCTTCTGAAGTGGTCGTTCAACTATAGACGTGATATTCTGGCTATGCCAATTTCAGAAGTGTTGTTCCTCATCACCACCAGTAACAGAAACATTGCAAATCCCATCTACATGCATAGGAGCCAAAATGATCAATAAATTGATCGTGGGCCCTTAAGATATAGAAGAAGAAGAAGAACACTTTAGGCTTAGGCCTCTTTACATTGCTTTCATAGATCTGACCAAGGCATTCGACTTGGTAAGTCGGAGTTACCTGTACTGATCTTGCATAAAGTAGGTTGTCCCCCTCGACTGCTCACAATCAAACAGTAATTTCACGAAAACATGCACAGCACAGTAACCTTCAATGGCGCGGTCTCTGAGGCATTGCCAATCAGCAGCGTAGTAAAACAAGGCTGCGTTCTGGCACCAACGCTTTTCTTTATTTTCTTTTCAATGCTTCTCCCGTTTGCCTCCAGAGACTGTAAAGACGGAGTGTACATCCATACCAGATCTGATGGAAGGCTGTTCCATATCTCCCGCCTCCGTGCAAAGACCAAGGTAACAACGGTGCTATATGTGAACGGCTGTTGACTGACAATTCCGCCTTAACGTCGCACACAGAAAGAAGGTCTACAGCGGTTAGTCCATCGCCTCTCTCCCACACATGTCAAGATTTTGGAGTGACCATTAGTTAACAGAAAACCAATGTTATGATGCAAGAAGCACCGTTCCCTCCAAACATAACTATTGAGGGCCATAATATGTCGGTAAATAATAATTTTACATACATTGGATCAAATATCTATACCGGTAGCTCACGTTCTGTTGCGGAAGAAGTGAGCATCAGGATCGCAAAAGCAACTATGGCCAAACTAAATTAGCGGGTGTGGAATAATCTAAAAACTAATTGAAAGAACAGAACAAAACGTCTATCAGACATGTATGCTTAATGCGCTCCTATTATAGTAGTGAAGTGTGGATCAAAATTATCGAACATATGCCAGGCATT